TCTCTCCCCACCTCCTGCATGGCACAAGCCAGAAAATTCTCCACATGATTCCTGCATCTGAGCCCAAAGCACCTGCAGAGTCATATTTTCTCACTGCATCGAAGGAGTTGCCCACTTATTCTGTTGGTTAACTATCCCTTTATCATTATGAATCTTTTTAACATCAAATTGTCATCGCATGCTACTCTGTGTTGGCCTGCTGCACTGAAGAGCCATCAAGTTCCATGTTTACTCCAGTGAAAGTAACTCACTTTAATCATCATCTTACTACTGGAGAGCTCACTTTTTCTCTTGCGTAAGCCTCTAATGCTTTTTCAAACAAAATGGATACTATACTGTTTTTGTTTTGTTGTGGTGTTTTTTTTATAGAAACACTTTATTGCTGCAGTCAATAACCCTGTGTATCACACACAAATAATCAATTACATTTTAAGAAACTAAAAATAATTCTGCAAGTGGTAATACTGAGAAAATGAACATACACGAAAGGATACAAAACTATACATTTAAGTTACTAGAAATTTACTAACTAAAAAATTCTGCAGAAATGTGAAGTGTCATATAAACTATACAACACATGCCAGTGTGAAGTTGTTTAACGTTATACAATTACCTATCTACAAATGTTTTACCTAAATACAAGATCAGCTGCAATTTTTAAACAGTTATCTTCTATACAAAGACAAGTGCTTTCAGTACTTCATTGGAATATACAGACACTGCAATATCTCAAAACTAAAAAATAATCACAAAATAAAAGGTCCCACTTAGAAGTTTTCTTTGCATATCTAATATAATGCTGTGAAAATGTAGCCAGCAATATCCTTCCTTTTGTATTTGCCCTGTTTCACCTATATTTGAGAGGGACCCAACCCAGAGTCACTGACCTCCCTTTCAATCTGCTGGCCACAATCTCCAGAGCAGACTACACCAGAAATCTGTATCTTAACACACTTCAGCTTTAGGAGAAATTTGGACTTGGGTCCCACTTTGTAATAGATACTTACCCAGCCAAACACAGGGCAGACGCAACCAGCTCCCAATGCATGGTCACATCCATGCATCACTTCAAAGGTTTCTGAAGAGCAGCATGCCAAGCAGACTCCTTCCTTACAGCACCACCACAAGTGGGATTGATGCTCTGATCAGTACAGGAGATCGGCAGAAGTGGGCTTGGACAGGGAGTTACTAACGCTTCCCAGGATTTCCCAGATACAGCACAGATGCCTAGCGCTTCTCTAACCCCTTGCAGGCTCAATGTAACTTTTGGCCTTCCTTCAGAAAAAAAAACAACAATCTTGATGACATTTAACCAGAGGAAGCTGTCCCCAGGTCTGCCCATCTCTTCAGAGTATAGAGCAACAATTTAAACACCACCCCTGCTCCCAGCGTACAGGGTTACAGTTGAGGAAAGTCCTGAGAATTCATAGGAATTTAATGTCTCATGATCTCTTGAAAAGGATCAACCTTCTGCAACACACACCTGCATTTCTAACGCAATGCACGTTCATGACCTGGCAGATACACCAAACATGATGCAGTGGGGAAATTTCCTTGGCACAGACGGCACTTTGTTGGATTTAAGTCGTCAATAGAACAGAAGTCTGGTCAGATGTGTAGGGCATGGGATATATCAGCAAAGGCCCTGGCAATCTGCAGAAGGGATCATGGCAGATAGCATTAAGCCTATATCCCTCCTACTTAAATTCTGGTCTCAGAAAAGCCCCAAGTAACCTGAACTAACTTTGGCCAAGGAACAAGGACCAAAGTCAGACTTCTATTTCAGTCATTTCAAAAGCTGCCAGAAGCAACTGTTGGAAAGCCTGACCTGACAGGGAGTGGTCATTCCCCTTACTGACATCTGGGTGGGAAGGACAGATCTCACCTGAGCTAGCATCAGTGCCTTGCAGCTGGAAGCTGAAAACAAGTCAACAGTATCTCCTTAAGGAGAAAGAAGGAAAAAGCACCATTCAGCCTTCTCACACCATTTGATGGCACCATGCAGAAGCAGAGAACTGCACATCCAGAAGCCCACTGTTAACACCAAGCAAGAATCAGCATGAGAATTGTGACCAGCATAAAAGAAAACCCCTGACAGATGCATCTTTTCTGTAGCCCTTCCTGGTATGAGCATTCCCAAGCAGTATAAAAAGTTTAAATATTAGGCCTTAATTTTCATTCAGAAAAGACCTGCTGGGAGAGGGAACGGTTAGCAGCAACACTGGCTAAAACAGTTTCATCTGCAAATATTTTTCCCCAGACGATTTTGCTGGAGATTATTTTTCTTCCCAAGTTAAGATATGCAGGGGCACAGCAAAAAAACCTTCAGTATCCTGAATACACTGAACACTACCTGGGCATGTGCCACATGAAGCTTCCAAAACATCAAATGAGATTTTATAATGTTTCACCAAGAATCACATATGACAATGACTGAAACAAGACCAGTACGTTACAGTATGCCGTATCAGCACTTGTCAGAACATCAGTCATAGCCCAGTGCCTCTCAGCTGTGAGTTGGAGAACAAGCAGGTTTCATACCAGAATTTTTCCATTTTCATTTCACCTACTGACCACAGATTGGATGAGAACATGCACAGCATCAGTCGGCAGCTGATTCTGTGCACCTTGCAGCTGGAACATGAGCATCTCGCAGATGCGTAAGCCTTGTCCACTTAGGCATTTCAGAAGAACATGATGAAGGTGTGCAAGACCTGATATTTAACCCACCTGAGTTTTTCTAGTAAATCTTTTCACAGAACAAAATAGAAAAGAAAACAAGACCATGTATTATCTGGGTTCTCGTAATAGAAGAGGATCACCCACAGCAGAGTTCAGAAAATGACCCGAGTAATTGCACTTTAAATTACAGCAGGCATAGGCAACAAACTCTACATGCGTATGGTCATGAAGACTGCTGCCCCGATACTAGAAGGGTATGCAGGGTTTGTCTGCCTGTATCACATAAGCATGGGACATCCCGACACCTAGCACAGCACACAAACCCATGCCAGTGCAGTTTTTCTAGGACTGTCTAGAGGTCTGGTATTTCAAAACATCTCAAGAACAAGGTACCATGCTGTTCATGAAGACCACAGCCAGTAAGCTTCAAGCATGAGATCACACAGAAGAATGCATGCACACACATGCTTTTCCTCTAACAGCTCTTAGAAACCACTGCTGTGTGTTCTCTTACCATCGTCCCTTCTCTGCCTTCTTTTAAAATACTAATTTAAAAATAAATTAATATTACATTTTAAAGAAAAAAAAAAATCACTGATCTCTTACTGTTTCTTTGGGAAATCTTAAAGCATCTACTTTTATTATGAAATGAACTTGCCCAATGAAAGTTGTACTTGAAAAAGACTACGTAAAACCTGAACTGGAGCTGGGGATTTAGTTCAGTATCTCAACAAGTAAACAGAAGCTTTTACCTAACCTAGAAGTCCAGTCGACTCCTACTAAGACCAACCAGAAGATTACCATTGACTTTACAGAGGTTTAGGTAGGGCTCAGGTAGGGAAAAGTCAGCTTTCAAATGCAGAGGCCTCGTGCTGACTTTTCGTGGGACTTCATTTCTGCTCCAGTCACACTGAGACTTTGGTTAAATGAGGGCTTGAAGCTGGACAGTTGTTCAGTGAAGTAGATTGGTTAAGTGAATTAACAGCAGACATCCCAGGCTTTGGGCAACTCTGTCTAAAGCCCTGTAAACAGATTTTAAAGCTGTTCCTCTCTTTTCATCAAGGCTGACTAATTAAAAAGCCAGTCCCAAATTCAAAAGCACAGACAAAACTATTATCTGACCACATAATGCATCACATCAGGACTAAAACCAAGCAGGTATTTTTAAACTCATCCACTTAATGCAGTATTTACTTCCTAGACTTTGATCTCAGCATCTCCTCTGACAATATCAAATTCTTGGGTAGTTCACACATGACACAGCACTAAAGAAGGAAAATGAATTTCAGCTGTATTGACTAAGTATCTCTTTTTCTGTAACAGCTCACATTTTTACTGATATAGCAACAAACCTTTTGCCAATGATTTGGAATGACAGTTACATCAGGTATATATGTGCAGGTGTGTTGATGGTCTGACCTACTGGGAAAAAAAAGCAAAACTGATCCCCAAAACAGAGCACTGAAACCATTATGCATTGAAAACAAACACTGTACACATCCACTACTCCTCATACACAAGTCACAAGTGCAATATCCTTTGAAAAAAATTGTTCCTCAAAGGAAACCCATAGAGGCAGAGTTTTTTAGTGTTATGTTTAGTAAGATAATGTGGGCGTCTGTTGGAAATCACAGGTTGGAATTTTTTTTAATTTTTTTTTTTTTTTTTAATAAGGCAAGAGGTTTATGTTCCAGAAGAACAGATGGGATAAAGAATGAAGAAATGTTTCGAAAATGACACATTCTTTCAAGTTTCTTTCTCATTTGACATTCATATTACAAAATAAAGATTTTTAAAAGTGCTATATGCTTTGTAAGTCTCATCACAATACATAAAGCAAAATTTTACACCTGCTGCCTAAGACAAAATGTTAGTGGCAGTGTTAGCAGTAGATTAGACTCTAGCGCTCTCATTTCCCTCAATGTCTCGAAGAACCTCCTTCATGCTTAAAGAACAAACAAACCCCACTCTACACATATTCCAGAATCATTTAGAGTCATCTTCTAAAGTAACAGACTCCATGAAGATGATAACAGTTGACTAGTGGCTTGCTTGATACCAAACCCAAGGCTCATTGTACCCAGTATCCTGGCTCTTTGATCAGCCAGTATGAGAGAGAAAATGTTGAGACAAAACCATGACAACATTGACAGATATGCCAAAGGGATTTAAAAAAATTCTAACAAAAAACAAATGTAAAAAAATTCAACCACCAGCCCTCAGCTGTTAGCCGATTTTAAAAAGGTAGAGCAGTTTGCAGTAAACAATGATATTTTAAATCTTCGAGGACATACAGAAACATCCCTCCCACCCAGCAATCAGACATGAAGGATTTCTGCAGCACAGTCTTCTGGCTCTGTGTAATGTGAAGAGTTTGTGTCTGAATGGTGAACTCCAAGCGTTTCTTTACTTTCGAAGCTTGGCTCCATTAGTGCAGATTTTTCAAAAATATTCTTTTTGCTAGTTTCCGGACAGTTTTGTACATATATTACTCGGTTATAAGCTTTAAGTCTCTTCCACAGCTGTACGTACACTTTGCATTGTACATACATGAACAGAAGTCCTCCAGTGAAACCAATGGCCACAACCACCAGCTTAGTCCAAAATGGCCACTCTAGAATCCCTGGAAGAAAGAAAACAAAAAAAGAAGGAAGAAAAAGGACTTGGTCAATCTTGGCTGTACTACATTGGATCTCTCAAAACCTAAGGAAACTGTCACAGAGTCTGGGCCACACAAACTATTCTTATTTTGCCATTTTTCTTGTTTGGTCTTCCCCCCCCCCCACCCCCCCGCTTCAAGTCAAACGCATGCAGATTTTTTCTTCACATATCACTTTTATTCTCATCCACCAGAGGAAAAACAAAACAATTGATTTTCTGTGCCTGAGTCCTTGTGCAGCACAATCACAAACAGAGTCAAGGCAACAGCCAGTAATATATTTAGGTCTTTTTACACCTGTTTTTAAAGAAAAATAGGATCAGATTATGAAAGGGATTCTATGGCATGGCCTCCTCTTCATAGCAGGACACTCAACTCAGTGACTCAAGAAGTCTGTTCCACTCTGTGATTATACAGTACCTGGAGCCATAGTCTTTAAACTCAAAAGGGAATGATTGTTACCATCTAGCCTGACATGTTCGTTATACAGACCAGACAATTTTATCTGCATCAGTAACTTGTATTTGAACTACAGCATCTCTTCTGATGCAAAACTGCAAAAGTTGGAGATGCTGAAGCATTCTGGCAAGCTTACCCTCCATCATTAAAAATGACCACCATTACTTTTTCTGGATTTGTCTAGCTTGAACTTTCAGATGTTGGATCTTGTTACATGTCTACCAACTACTTTTAAATGAGAGACTATTCATTTTATACATTCTGCTTGCTTAGGTCCTGTATCCACCCAGCCTCTCTCCTCTTTAAAGATAAGCGGCATCACAAGATGGATATGAAACTATGCTGAATCACCCACTATCAGTTTTCTCTGAGAATAAAATCATGGCCTTGCAAGTCTTCAAAGTTTTTACCAAGATACAGGCCAGTGTTTGTTCAGAAATGTGTGGTAGGGTGGGAGGAATGAAAATATTTTAGTCCCAAAATACAAAGGGCACTGCAGCGTGACTACTGATTAAATCCCACATGTGATTAATACCTGAACTTCTGATTCACAGGTGAGCTATCTGATGCCATCTGTAGGCAGTGATAGTATATGCTTGCCCCTGTGCAGACATGAATGTATACCCACACATACTCTCCACAGCCCCCAGCTCATCACAACACTGCCCAGATTTAGAATCCAAATGAAGGGAGCAAAGAAGGCACTATAACATGTACTAAATATTCACCGTATTCCACCTATTCATGTTCATCTAATATATTTATTGGCTAAAATAACCTGGAGACGATAAATCTTTCAAAGCATATGCTTTTCATTATCATATGGAAACCTTACACTGAAAGGCCAACAATTTTCACCATACATGAAAGAGATGGGGTTAGATGGAACAGAAACTAAAAGATCTCATTCAAAGCAGCTTCCTGACTGAAGTCATGAACAATCAAACTACAGCCCAAATGAGAAATGACAGTAAAACCGTTCAGTTTGAAGTGTGATTCTGCTCTGAAGAGACTGTAACACCTCTGTGGATTTGCAAGTTTATTGATGCTCAGCTACCTCCCTAGATGATGCTCTTCAAACACCAGCAAAAAATTTTCCAACTCCATGTCCAGTTGGCATGCAATCCTCTGTAAGCAAGGACAGCTCGCCTTCTTAATGGCTCCCAGCCTTGGTAGATACCCCATCCCTTCTATCCCCACCTTCAGGGACAGCTCAGCTGTCTTAGAAACAGTTCTGTGACAGCTGCAAATTTGCTGAATAGAAAGAAAACCCTGTTGATTTACCTCAAAGATTTGGATTTAGGTTCCTCTTACTACTTCTCTTTTTAAAAACTGTTCTGGTTTTTGCCCAGTTGAAAGGTAGACATAGCAGCAAACAAATGCTTACATTTTTATCTGCTCAGTAAGTCTTCCAATTAAAAACTAAATTAGCTAAGGCAATGTAATTTTGTGTCTGGCTACAGTGGATTAGCTCTCATATCTGCGCATTTCACAAGCACAAACTAAATTGACTTGAAGTGGACTTAAAAAGCACCCACAGATGAATTTACACTGATTTAACTAAATCATTTTAGAACTGTGCTTTTAAACCAATCCAATCTCAGGCTAAAGCTGACTAGTCTAAGTATAAACATTACCTGCACACTCATGCTCCGCATTCTCTCTGCATTCAGGATAAATAGTTATTCCAAGAGAATAAGTGGGGAGATAAGCAAGTAACATACCAGTAGTCTGTCCCTGTTTAATCTCTTCAGCGGTCCTGTCTATCAGGACATAGAGAGACCATACAACGCAGGTGATGGCAATGATATGGAATGTTACAGAGCACATGATCTTCCTCCTCTCGCTGGCTGTCATCTGCAGCTTCTCCCACTGGCAAGAAACCCAGAAGCAGAGCAAGAAGATTAGGTGTTTATTGTAGTTATTAGAGAGTATAAAAAGAGAACATTGATAAGAACAAAAACCAGGCAGGAGACCAGTTTCCTCCTAACATGGATTTTGAAAGTCAGATGGCATTATTGCTCTGACCACATCACGTGTGTGATGGCTGGCAGCATACCCTGCTGTGACAGGAGCCATCCTGGTGTTGGAGGGGACCTCCAGTGCTCAGCTCCCATCCAGAGCCTCAGCACAATGTCATCGCACCCTGCTTACCCATGCAGGGGCAAGCCTAGCCCAGAGGGACCCTAACGCAAGACCTTGTGCAGTGCAAGCAAGGCTGCTCCTTCATGTGTTCCCCACTCAACAGCAGGTACCCATAGTCACAGCTGAGCATTGTGCATGGCACAGGGTACCCTTGCTCAGGCAGGCATTCAATAAAACACTGCGATAAAAGTAGTACATGATGCAATTCACCAGTGCGTGTAAGACATATCACACTGAACTCTAGTATCTCGGAGCATAGCCAAGGCTGTTTAGCTTTCAAGGCTGTTTAGTTCTCACCTCCTACCTCTGGGGGTTTCATTCAATCTTCACTTATATTTAACACTACTTACAGCAGTGACACCCATATTTTATTTTCAGTGTTTCAAGTGCACTTAAATACGTATGCCCTAAGAATACACAGTAGAACTGGAATGATAGCTTTTGTAAGGGAGGGGATACAGCAAGTTAAATCCCCAGACCTGCATCTATCAATAATGTTTATACAGCCCAGATAGAAGCCACAAAGTCAGGTCGTTATCATTTAGGAAATATACAAAGAAACTACACAATATTTATAGATGCTTCTAATATGCAAGGAATTGTTCAAAAACAGCTTTTTTTTTTTTTTACCTGAGACACCCAGAAGCTTTTTTTTTTTTTAAATTACTTTTTGGCAATTTCCCCTATGTATATGATGAAAGTTTTTGCCACTGGGATACACAACGTTCATCACATCTGCCTGGAACAGAGAGTTAAGATGGGCTTTTCTCACACTTTCACAAAACATATGCTGGGGCACATAAGCTTCTCATACATACCTATGTGTTTCTAGACAGGTGCATTTGATGTCTCTTAGAATAATGTGTAGAAAATGAGGTCTTTGAAAAGGAGCAATAATATGGAACAGAGTAAAGATGACCTGACTGGTACGATTGAGATCATCCATTATGTTGAATTATTGTTTCCACTCCTACAAATACAAGTATGGTTGAAACATGAAGCAGAGACTCTTTGATCCTCTGTCTTGCCAACAACCAACCTCTTTGGCCAGTCCAAGCCACAACTCCAGTTCTGTGGGCATCCAAATCTTGTCATGGCACAGGAATTGAAGACTTCCAGCAACTACATGCTAGACTTATGTTATGCTAGAAAGCTATATTCTTCCAATCTTCTCAGAAAAAGATTGGACAAAAAATTCCCTTTGGACGTTGTATTTTAAACAGATAATTGCTTTTTCATCTAAACAAAGGTGTTTACTTTTGACAGAAAGTATAAATTAATTAAATTATTTTGTCAAAAAGTAAGCATGTGAAATCTATTTGTGAATGCTTTTACAGAGCCACAGGACTTGCGTTTTGACTAACTTATATTTCTCTTTTCTATTCCACAGCTTGAGGTCCTCTGCTGGGCAATACCTCCTGTGAACCAAACCAAACTGCACCACCTCATCTCTTCAAGAGATATGACTGCACAACAAAAGAGAAGATATTCTGCAAACTAGCACTAGCCCATAGAGGGAACTAGAATCTGTAGGTCCCTGCTGCATTATTCCGATGATACAGCATGCAGCATTTCCCCCAGTTAAAAGAGTCAGCAGATCTGGGTTTTTGAAGTGTTGTTAAAACAAAAAATTCAGCAGAAAATTTAGATTTCATGTCTTTTTTTTTTTTTATTGAAATTTTAAAATGGACTATCCCTCTCTTGTCTCCCTTCATCTTCGCTTGAACCATGACATGTTTAGTTTTTCATTCACTTCCCTTAGTAACTTCAAGTTTGAACAGCCTAATGCTGCGATACTACCTTAAGATGCTGAGGAAGTTTAATTCCATTTCTACCCCACAGACAAGCACAAGCCCTATTATTTGTCCCATCCTGTTCATAATCACCAGTTCCAGATTGTTTTCTCCTGACTGACAGGATACTATAAAGGTCGAGGTGAAGCTACAGAGGCAGCTTATCTTCTGGCTGCAGCTGAACCTCTAAGAAGACTCTTTACATATAGTTGAGAGGTAAATTCCATCTTCTCCTTCTGTTTATGGCTCTGTCCCTACCTTCTGGCATCTGGTCTCTTTCCCACAGATGACTTGTTCAGATATAACTAATGATGTTGAATCACTCATTTCTGAAGGTGCCCAACAGCTTTTTCTCACAGGGCACAAATATTCAGAAAATGTTTCCCACCCACTCCAGGCAGAGAAAGCACAGAAAAACTAGCAGCCAACTACCAACCACAGCAACTCTTTTTACTTACAATTATCTAGAGTAGTTTCTTTAATGTCCTATGACTGGGCTGTGCAAACTATTGCCTGTGCAGATAACAGAGCCTATGACAGCAAATATTGCAGCTCAGAGGCACTATGCTCTGTGCCAAGGGGGCTACCAAAGGAAAATCTGCAGTACTTAGAAGGCAACGATTCACCGCAGTCATAAGCAGAGGTCATCCTATCAACTGGACACGCTAAGATATATACTTTGTAGATTGTACATCTCTATAAAAAAAATAAGAGATGCTTGAAATCTGCTCTATTTTCTGCTAGGAGTCACTTTTAGGAATTGGACAAGTTCTCATAACAGCTTTTGGATGGCTGTAATTCTGACTTCCCACCCTACATGATTTAGGCTCATCATAATTGAATTTAATGTTTCTCATTTATTCTAGTTCCAAACTGAGGTTACTGTTATTAACCTCTTCCACTTCGGTAGATGTGGCAAGATTTGACTCTGCTCAGAATACCAGTGACTTCCATCTCAAAATCCTGATGGTAAGGACCAACTGAAATTGAAAGCCTGAAGGATGTGGGAAAACAAAAAGCATACAAGCAAAAAACTGGGCTTACAATATAAGTAGCATTTAAGTACCTATACTTTAAGGCACCAGATTTATGAAAGCTACTTTTCTATAAAACAAAAATACAAGTTCTAGCAACCTGAAGTGCTAAAACCTAGCCATTCAGAGTCTAAGAAAAGGTAAAAATGAAAACACATTTATTGGTGAACCTTCTTCTATTTACACTGTAATACTTTCACTAAAATAGGTTTGCTCCTTTAAAACAGAAAAAAAAGCTACAAATTTTAACGAAATTACACTCAAAAATTGTGATTTAAAGAAAGTTTAACCTGAAATCCTCATATTTTCAAGAGAACTTAAAAGCCACGTGGACCTCAGAGCAGCAAACTAAAGCAGTAATACAAAACTCCATATTTAAAAAAAAATGTGGATAACTGCAGAGCAAATACCTTTGTGCATCAGCTCCAAAATGTAACTGTAAAGAAAAAAATCAGGTTGCTGCATGCATATATGTATATGTGTGTGTATCTGTGTACATTTACACACAGAGAGCTGCTGGGCTACAACAACTAACTCTCAGAGCTGGATTCCACTGACATTGAATTTGCCAGACTGAGTGTTAATTTAAATCCTTTTGCACCTATAAAAAACTGACCAGACTTACTAAGGAGCCATAGGAACATGATAAACATGTGAGAGGTGCTGCAGGCTCATGGACAAGGGCAGCCTCTTTTCAGAGTGGATCTGTGTTTAACAAAGTATTTGCTTGGGGAAGCAGGTCTTGCGCCTACCTTTCGCAAAGGCTTCAGTTTTGTCTCCATGATGAACTCATACTTGCACAGTTCACAGCATCGTGTATCTGAGCTCTTGATCCATTGCTGCAGGCAGGCTTGGTGCACAAAATGAAGACTTCCCGTGCAGTGACAAGGGGTAATCAAAGGGCTGTCATCATCTCCTTCACAGTGACATATCCTGAATCAGAAGCAAAGTTGCTCATTAGGAGAAGAGGACACAGAAAGGATGTGGAAGAGGCATGTAATATCTATGATCACACAAGGTTGTCCATTGAGGATCCTGAGATATACATATGAAAGGAGTGTGTTCCATAAAGGAGCTAAAACTAAAAAACACCATTGCTGTGCAAGAACATACACAAACACAAAATAACTGAGCACAGACACTGCTAAGGAGACAGTTGCTTTCTAACAGATGAGGTGGACACACAGAGCCTGACAGAAATGCAGTATCCAAAAGAAAAAACAGGGTAAGAAATGACAACACTTCATCTAGAACAATAGCACTTAACTGAAAATTGCATTTAAACAGATCAGACAGCACTTCCCAAGACAAAATATGCACAGAGAGGTACAGCTACTCATGGATTACGATCTGAAACAGAAAACAAAATTCCCAAACCAATGACGAAACAGCCCACCCCAGTATCATACAGAGTTAATTTAGACAGCCTGGATTTTGCACAAGAGAAGTGATTACTTCTAGTGCCAATTGCTAAGAGACAGATCCACACTGCTAAGCTACAGCACTGAATCTCCCTAAAACACACCTAAACGGACTAATGGTTTTGCTCTCCAATTCTTACGTTGCAAGAGCTGCTAAGGAAGCATCAGTTCTGCAAAATTCCCCATTTCCCTCACAGCCCAACTGTGCAGACAGCAAGGACACCTGATACAGTGTTACTGCCAGGTGCTGACATTTGATTTCCAGCTTCAATTTATACACAACCCTTGGGTTGCATCAAACATCTCCAAATCCTTCTAACCATGTGGAAGAGGTCAGGAATTGAAAGGGGGATGGTAAGGAGCTCAGGGAATGAATATAAAAGTTACTAAGGATATACGGAGTACATCCTGGCATGCTGCCATCCATGTCTATTACTGAAATCTCTTACTGATGCTTAGCATCTTGTCTCTTGCAACCTTGCTGATAGCTGGCAAGTGGAAATGAAAGAGTGGGTGGATTACAAGAGCGTCTTGTTGATGACAAGCCAGTACGGAACTAGATTTTGCTGGTAATGAGGGGGAAATCAAATTATATTGGCAAGTACTTACAAAGCCAGCTTCAGAAAGTGCTGTCAAGGAGGAGAAAGATTAGGATAGTAAAATGCTATGCAGAGGGATGGGACGTTTGCTCCTGTAGTTGGTGATTCCTGCTCCTCAGCCACATTTTGGAGCTGGGATGGGGCAGACCTACAGACAAGTCACCATGAAGACAGTCCAGAGCTGGCTGTTCCCACCACCAGTGCACATGACTAATCCTCTGTAGTTGGAACAAGGACATCCATCCTTTTTGGACCTCACACTATGGACATCACATAGGCCCACCACTAACACCCAGTACTCAGATTCCCCTTTCGACTACGGCATCCAGAAAGCCCTTTACAAATAAGAGTGTGGTGGGATACAAACTGTGAGGAAAAGACCAAAAAAACCCCCAAACTTAAGCTTTAGTGACCTGATCTCAGAAGCAATTTTCAAACAGTCTGTCTTCCTCCTGACTCCCCATCCTCTGACCAAACCAGCAGTGACTGTCAGGACAAAACATTGCTCATTAAACACCAAGACATGTTCAGCTTGGCCTTTAATATGCGTAGCTGTTCTCTCATAATATTCCCAGTTTTGGCACTGATAAGAGAAAAATACCATCTCAGAATGCCAAACCTGAAACAAATTGCAAGAGAATTTATTTGATTCCAAAGGAAATTCTTTTGCTTAGTAGCCTTGTTAAGTGCATCAGAGGGTGCAGGACAGCAGAGAGAAGGCTGCATGCTTCAAATCGCACATATTAAAGCAAGGTGACAGGGTGAAAGAAAAGACAGAAACAGCAGAAAGGCAGGGGAAAGCAGAATGGTCACCACTGCACATGGGAGGGCTCGAAGGTAGGTGGTTCTCTGGTAAACCAACCTGCAAGTATCCCCTGATGTGGATACAGGGGAGAGAGGGGGGAATTTTTCTGAGAGGGGGGAAGGGCAGTCAAGGTCACTGTCCTTCTCAACTGAACAGAGCGGCGCCCGCTGCTCTTTTGTTTTCAATTTCACTGAGGCGCTGTCCTCAAAGACATCATCGTCTCCCATATCATCAGAGCAGAAGTCCGTGCTTTCCACCAGCACGCTGGAGGATTTCTCAGCTTGGAAGTGACTGGAATAGCTCTCCAGTTCGTGGAACTTATGCAGGCTGCTGGTGCTGGAGGTGTGGGAGAAGGAAAAAAGGTAACGCAACAGTTTTTTGCTCCTTGAGGTGTCATGGTCCACTCTGTCCTCCAGCAAGGGGATATGTACAGCGCTGTGGTTCTCTGCTTCTCCTGATGCACTCGAGTAGTTGGAAAGGGAAGGGATACAGGAGTGCTTAGAATTGCTAAAAGAAAGAGGCCTGAGATTCAGTGGTTTCCTCTCTTTAAGATGAAATTTGTTAATCCTTAAACACTGTTCTTGAGTTGGGGTCAATTTGCCTTCTGAGCATGTTCGCTCCACATAGTCAAAGCACTCACTGGTGCTCTGTGCCTTCTGGTCCACGTCATTGAGGGACTTCGAGAATTTCAGAGTGCGTGTGGGCTTTACGTTCTTAGCAGACCTGAGTGCCTGGCCCCGATCCTGCCCACAGGAGTTTCTCTTTGCTGGACGTAACGTGTCCTGACAGATTACTGTCACAGTGACCCCTTGTGTCAGAGGGCTCTGGCAGTGAGGATTTTTCAAGACAACAGCAGACTGCACTGGACTGTGATGACAACACTCAGAAAACACTGCACTGGAACTGCATGCAGAACAGTGGAATAAAAGCACAGAAAGTAAAAAACAATTACAAAAGATAACATATATAATTAAAAGTGAAGAAATGAGAATTACTGCTACTGTGGGAACGGCAAACATAGCAGGGCCAAACAGTTGGTGGGATTCAACAAAGCAGTGTTAGACAGCAGTCAAGTCAAACAAATGGGATGCTTCATATGGGAACCTCACATCACTTACTTCCCCATACATGTGCTTTTTCAGTTTTGTGTTTTCTTAATTTGAACCTCTCACGAGCCTCACTGTAGCCATGCAAGCAACACACTTTACCTGCAGATGTCCTGGTTGGATGGTGTAACAGAAGTCCGAGAGAAGCTATGAGGGGCAGAGATAGAGGTTGGACTTCCAGCCTGCAGTGAAATTAAAACAAACAAACAGAAGCAAGTCACAAGTTGGAAGAGTTTGGCATGCACAGCAACCACCTTCAGGGTTAAGCACAGCATATAGAGTCAGATATCACTCTGTATCAGATACTCAAGGGCTAGTTGCAAGGAAGTGGCTTTACTGTTAAAGGTTAGAAAGTGAGGTCACACAGCCTCATCCTTGGAAAAATGGTAATCAGAACAGAAACATTTTCCCCCAAGTCAAATGCAGCAATCTCTGGAGCGGAACCTGCCAGCTGTCAAACATTGCACAGAACAATAGCTCAGGAAATGAGCAACGCTACGGTAATTAGAATAATTAGATGGAGGTGTGTGTATAGACTAGTCAAAACTTAGCTACCACATAATAGCTAATCCTTCCATTTATAATGATGACAAGAGATTAGAGGCTTTTGTGTTTTTTTTTTCACAAGACAGAACCTTCAGTAATTCAGTAATTTAAACACTATTTGGGGACTTACTTGCCATACTAGCATATGCACATGAACACCATCTGCCAAACTAGACCATTCCCTGAAGTACTCTTTGTACTTTGCGAGGCCTTTCATCCTGCTCTTACTCTGACAAGGTCTTCCACCTACTTGCACAAGAGGTGTGGCAGTAGTCACATTCCTAAGACCCAACAAGAGCACAGTGAGAAACAGAATAACTGAAGAATTCAGCTGAACTAACTCAAAAAAAATAAAGCTAAGCTCTTGGCATATTTAACACTTAATAGACAAGCCTCTAAAATCAATATGGTAAGAAAGATCATTGTTGCAGAGTTGGGACTCGATAGGCTATTAGTATAGGCCTTTTCTACCGCTATATTCTATGGGTCAGTAACAGAAACTTCCCAGCTTCCTAGAGCTTTTGGTGAGGAGGAAACCTGCGTTGATAAACTTGTAACAGAGAATCTTTAAACCTGGTTCTCCCATGTTCAGCTGCTGGATAGGCTGTGCTGCTCACCCACTGCTGCAAAACACTGCTTGCATTTCAAAATTCAAACAAAGATTTACAGCTCTTTTGATCTGCAAAGCAAAGCCTGAAACCCAGGAAAGAACAATGCAAACAGCACAACAGAAGTATCAACACCACGCTGGGCTGCACAAAAACCAGCACCGCCAGCACAGACCTGAGCCAGGCAAGTGCACAAAGCCAGATCCGGAGAGACCTCAGGTCATGAAAGGTGTGTCGCCACAGAAGCACGCTGTGCCCAGCCCTGTACTTCAGCTCAAGATGCCAGAGCTAGCTCAGTCATCACCGCTTTGATGATCTCTGATCATGGTGCAACACACAACACACTATATCTGTCTCAGGACTCTTCAATTCTGTATTTAACTTATTAAAAGCCCCTATGGTATATTTAAACAAGGCCGCTGCAGGCTTTTTTCACTCTCATAGCAAAAGCAAGGTCCCTTGTCACACAATATACTCTTCTTTCTTTCCCAGAGAAGATGGGTATACTAGGATACACATGATGCTTTATAAATACAGATGCAACCATCATCTTCCGTGTTACGGGACTCATCTGTTAAAGTTTTGTTTCTCCAGCCAACAGCACTACAGAGACCAACGTATCTGGCCTCACACAGGGATGTCTCAGGTGCACCGAGCCTGAAAAAAAACAGGTATCCATTTACAACTGGGTCTGCAAAAGTCGAGGGCAAGACTCAAACACACACCTATTGATCCATAGCAACACACTGTAACTTATTTCCCTTCCTACCCAGCTTGGTACACATATAGAAGAAAAACCAAGAGAATAACCTTGGGCCAGGAAGCAAACCGATCTATGTTATCTCCGTGACAAAACAAATTCAAGACTTAACTATGAAAAGAAACTATGGTTCTTTACATTTTACACCACTTGCATATGCTAATGATACAGGATACCCATCATACAGTGAGGTGAATTCAGATATTACTTGGAAATTTGCTATTTGATGCTTAACCTCTCCTAAAAGCAGGTACATCTCTGACTTCAAACCCTACCTTTTAAAAAGAGTTTATGCAATAATTTTTTTTTTAAAGAAAGACTGACAAGTTAGTGGAAGACTCAACACACTATAAACTGCTGCTATAATTATGCAAATGAAAATTAGTAAGGCTTAAATAACAAATTATTTAAAAGGACATATTTAGCAATCTTCTAAAAACAAAATATTGAACCAGTAAAACAGCATGTTACATTCTGCCATGGAAACAGAGCCATATATTGTTGGAACTGAAGTCACAAATCAAATTAATAAATCTGTCTCAGGTTTTACGTTATGAGCAAATCACAGAAGGAAACCTGCTTAGAATGAATCCAATCTCTCTACTCCTTCACTTTAGCACTGAAGCTTTCCAAAAAAAGTCAGTGGTATATATAACGTGACAGTCTAATAGCAGATGACTAGATTCAATGATCCAAAATTACCCTTCTGAAACCATGTTACTGGTGTCTTGATCCAATTGCCTGGCACTAAGACAGTGTCAAAGTCTTGTCACTTGGGAAATCAAAAGGCTGGGACAAACAAGAAATTGTGGAATTTCATTTGCATTTCAAGCTTACTATTTTGCTTCTAGATGCCAGCACTGTTCAGGAGAGCTTGCAAAAACCCCACATTTCAGGCACATTTTCTTTTCCTCCTATCTTGCTGCTTCAAAACAGGAGGTCCTTTGCTCCATCTTCATACATAATGCAAATGCAACCAAAATATGAACAGAAATTAACACATTTGGAAAAGCACCACAAAGTGGAACAACAAAACATTGGAAGAGGTTATACCTCACCCTTGGTTTAAGCTAACGTAAGCTGTGACTACCACCAAAAGCCATGGTTCAATGAGCCTCCAGTCTCTCAGTTTGTCCTCCTTTCCTCCCATACTTCCTGCTCGTGAAGCTATTTACACAGCTGCACTGCAAATCAGATTAGGATGGCAAGGTGAGGCAAAACTAACCACTTCTTTTACTGAGCTTGTTTAATGCCAGTCACTTCCCTAGCTTCAGCTGCGGGAGGAACATCAGTCAGTCAGAGCAATGAGCCTCTAATGGTGAGGCACAACTCACTAACAAGAGAAGAGCATAGTAAAATTGAAGCTGCTGCCAAGAGCCCAAAAAGTAAATTCAGCCAGTTCTAGAAGCAGAGGTGCATGCAGCTGATGCTAGTCAGTCCACACAGCTCACCTGGGTTTACTGACTCAGATATAGCTGCTATCAGGCAGAGGTGTGCCACAGAAAATAAGAAACACTGGCAGCCTTGGACCAGAACAGGGCAAAGAAGAGGCAATGTGATGGGTGAATGGAACAGAGAAGCAGACCCAGCTAGCTCGGAGCTCTGAGGTTGCTCCCACACAAGGCTTAGCTCTGAAGAGACTGGGAAATGAAGCAATCAAAGCCTTCACCACTCTGTAGCTTCTGGCACACATCATCATTAATGCCCCAGCAGCACCCTCCCAAGTAGAAGCACTTTGGTTGAACTGGTGACAGCAGCAGCAGGTTTTAAAGCACTCCTCGTCATAGAACATTTCTGCCATGCTCATTATGTGATGAGTAGCCTAAACCTTGACAGCCTGAATTTGACCCCTCTAATCCCAGAATCACTTGCTGAACCTCTGTGAACTTTCATGCCCTTCCCATGAAGGAATATCACCTCCAATTACAAGCCTTGGAGCTATGTGCTAGTGAGTTAGCCTGTACAGCCTGACTGGTTGCCTAAAATAGCTCAGGACTAAAGGTCAATAGTTAGTTAATTGCATATATTGACATTCCCATCTAATGCAATTCAGTGAGGTCATAGTGTGGCCTTCTGCACTGGTGTTTAGATAATCACAGCAACTTTGAAGGCAGCAAACCCTGGAAGCCTACAGCTCTCTGGAGGGTTGCCATCAGGAAGATATATATATCTCTCTTTTTATATATATGTGTGTGTGTATGTGCATACATATATATTTCTATGTACATATATAGAGATATATGTGCTGCCATAGCTGGTTGTTCTCATTCTGTCCCCACTCCATGAACAGCATGATCTGTTGGCGAAAGAACTCAGCCTTTTCTGATTACCTACTTGTGATTACATGCTGCATACCAAAACCACCACCCTCCCTCAGAAAATAAAGTCATCTTTGAAGTGAGCCATAGTGAACACGTCGATGGTTTGAGCATATTCCAAGATAACCTCCTTATCTGAGATGGCACTTCTGGGTACAGTTGCTGTCATCTCACTCTGGGCTGCACTTCAGTACTAGCAATTAAACCTCATTTTAATGAACAGGGCCTGTCACATTCTAAAAACCTTGCTAAATTATTCATTGAAGGTAAAAAGTTAGAAACAACTTAACTCCAGAAGAATTCCTCCACTGATTGGAAGTCTGAAGGAAGCAAAGAAAGGTTTTCCCCCACACCCGCAAATGTCATCATTTCTAGGTGCCACATGAATAGGACCAATACTGTGGCCCTACTATTTGTGCTACAAAAACACCTGAAGGTCTCAGCTAAGGACCCTGAACTAATATACTAGGGACTATACATATTTAATAATATAGCACACCTCCCCTTTGAGCAGATAAAGAGTTAAAGAAAAGAAGCACAATTTTAAGTCTGTTACTCAGGAGGAACTGCAGCACAAACAGCTCCAGACAAATAGAAATTCAGCAATAAAGCAAGGAGCCACACACTCTACAACCCAAATTTCAACCTGGCATTTTGATTATGGGTTTGCCTTTATTTTACACTGTAACGAACACATTTCAAACTAGGGTCTTCTGCTGGGCTAAAAAAATATATAAAATAAGACAGCAATAAAAATCCTAAAAAGGTAGCTGTACCTGCTGTCAAAAAGACTGATGCTAAAAGATGTCTCAAGTGTCACTGGACCATTGCAGCAGTTTCTGTCTGCCTCTGTTCCCCATAAGAACAATGGGAGCACAGTGGTGGTCTTCTCCACTGAGCCAACTCCAACTACCACCAGTTCCTCTGGCGATTAAAGAGGCACAGCTAACCATAACAGGTGTTGGCTCAGTGGAGACATCTGCCAGCACTGCCCCGAAGGTGTCCTGTCCCAAGCACAACCAGTGATCGAGACCCACTACCTTTAATTCCCTGCCTCTGCCCCAAGCAACCCCCCTGCACTGTAACACTTTTACAGCACCAAGATCACAGTGCTGCGATCTGCAATGGGCCACTGGGAGTTTTGTCTGAAACAGATTTGTCTCTCCTGGTATTAACACATCACAATGATGAACGTGGCAGAAGCACATAGGAAAGACAGAATCAGAGGGACGGTTATCACACCCTGTGTTTTAGAAGAACTCATTGCCAAAGAGCTATTTTCTCCCTCTCACAAAGATCGTATTTAAATGTGTATTAAGAAGGCAAGGCTGCTGCTAGACATGAACATGACAGGCACTTATCTGGCATGGTACATGTCCAGAGGTAGCGAAAGCCCCAGGCTCTGCTCCTCCCTTAGTTTACACCACAGAAACCAAACCCAACCACCCCAAGCCTGTTTCGTTGCATGATTTATGTATAGACAGTGATCTCGGAAAGAAAACAGCAGTGATGGGGGCCTTGTGAAAAGCATAACTCCATAACCTGCCTAGTCATAGAATCATCAAGTCCAACCGTATACCCGATGCCACCATGCTCGCTAAACCTATGAAGAGACTCACGGAATCTGACTCTATTTGTGCCACCCCTGCCCCATTCACCTCCCCTCTCTTTGACAGGGGCAGCCCCAGCCCCGTCTCATTCACAGTGGCAAAATTCAGTTCTGCCTGCTGTGCTGAGAAGTCCCGAGCCTGGGCTGAAGGCAGGCAGGGAGGTCTCAAATAAACCCAAGGGACACATTCATCATTTCTCTTGAGCCACTGCAGAACAAATACAATTGCTTGGCTCCAGCCATCGACCAGCAGGACGCAACGTATTTGTGTTTTTATGCTTTCAGCAAGTGCTGTATTCCATGTACACGTTGGCTGACGGCTCTCGCTAAAGTGCACTGCAGCTGTAAAGTCTCCAAAGCTCATCTGTGGAACAGACATGGTTGTTTCACTGCACGCATGCCAAAGGAGGCTTCCAGCTGAACTAGCACACCCAGGCAGCAGTGCAACGAGACCAACCAGCTGTGCTGAGTGTACTAACCTGACACTTTAAATAGCCAGAACAGGCCACTTATGGACAGTCTGGATGTTGTGAAGGGCAGACAGCCCTGCTGACAGGTTGTTTTTGAAAGCTTTTCCTAAATACCAACATGGCAGGATCAAACATCAATAACTTCTGGTCTTCTCCATTAAATCCTCCCTACCAGACTCACGCCATTTTGACTTGCAGTGCATATTAAAGTCAAATGTCTTTAGCTGGGATATGCTGCATTATTCGAATGGAGAGTGGTTAACAAAATGGGGGGGGAAGAAGCTATGGGAATGAGGCATCTGAAATTTTCAGGATGATCAACTCCACCATATAATTTTGGCAACAATTCTATAGGAATCATCAGTCAGCTGCTGGAAAAACTTTGCTTCATACTTTATATAATGTATATGACTAATTAAAATTATGTCTAGAAACTAGGAGCGAAGCTGAACTTAGCGTCCCCTCGTTCTTCATAAAGAAATCTAAAGGAGGATTCTGGCAGGAACTTTGTCTAGAGATACCAGAGCTGAAGGCATTAGAGAAAGGAGGCTATCTGCCCTTTCAAAATCTCCCCAAGCATAATTCAACCTGCCTATAGTACAGGATTAATGTTGCCTAAACCCAGTAACAACTGCACAGGTTCTGCAGGGAGAAAATATATTAAAAAAAAATATATAGACCTTTGACTTTAAAATCTTCCTCAAAATACCTTGAATGGACTGAGGGAACAAAACAGGAAAGGAAACTCCTGCAGGTCCCTCCTTCACAGACTATCCTCATGCCTGTATGAAGTAAGAATCCTGCCCCAGGAGAGGGAATTTATCACAGCACAGGGAGACTATTGCACTCCTTACAAACACAACTGCACCACGCCCCAGCATGAGATACTTGCTCTTGTGGGTGGGGAAAAGAGGCTACCTTAATCTTCATACTACACAATTTTTCCTGTCTTTTTCTTTCCCCAACAGCTCAGTAGAAGGATTTAATTTTTTTTTTTAAAAAACCAATTTCTCTTTCCATACCCCCAGGCTCATGTACCTGAACAGAACACCTCCAAGCAGCAGTTCTTTTCAATAAGCCTTGGTCATCTGATAGACTACAGGATAGCTAAGCTCTACGACTGAAAAACCTGGACTGCTTTTCTATGGACCAACGCTCACTGAATCCATCAAAGCTTCAGGCAACAGTGGACGTGTGTTTTCATATGCTTTTCTAAATCTGTTCCAAGCTGATGAACAGCCTAAATGGATTTTAAATTTCATAGCAAGCTTAGGCTACCACTTTGTGTCTGCACTGGCTGGCCTTCAGCCCAAGAATAATTTAATACTTTACACTGTGCTTCTGCTCAAAAGATAAAACTGTACAGGCCTTCAAAAAAGACAAAGCATTTACATTTTTTAAGGAGTGCACTTTTGATTCCTTTGCTGTGATCCCAGTATTAGAATGTCCGAAGTTTACCCCTTAGAGTGCCACAAAAATAAGACTACAAAGTGCTTCCCCACTATGCTAAAATCAGCCCTCCAGAGGAATCAGATGACAGGAACAGCACACAGATGACCTGAAGATATTTCCATATGTCACATCACCAGTTGCAGGATATATCAGACACTTTAAAGCTAAACAATATCGCTAATTTGAGGATAACTGTTTACAGACCAGCTTTGTTAGTGACCTCATTTAATCTGCTTGTAAGCACGATTCCTTTATCGAAGAGCAGAGGGCATGAATTACCACGATTGTGAAAACCCCTTTTTTAGCTGCTCTCAGTAACTAGCTGTGTTTTAGGGTCGATTTCATCTGTATTTAGAGTATGAAGCTTCTATAAAGCTTAATTATTTCTCTGTGTGGCTTGTATGATGAAGGTACTTAACAGTGAATGGTGGCTTCTTGGCAAAAATGCTGGCTTAGGGTAAACAGTTGACATGTGGCTCTGGGCTGTGTACCCCTGTGCCAGTCAGCAGTGTTTCAGTCAGCACCACTGTGCTTGAACAGGGCAAGGTGAGAATCAGGCTATGTCCAAGTCCCATGACTAAATCAGTTAAACCTACCTTCAACACTATTTTTTTTTTAAAATCTCAAAACAAACATAGAAAAGATTCCAGAAATTCAAATGTTTCATGTGGAGCAGATTTAAAAGGAGTGTTTGAAATATACACACTAAAAAAGCAAAGAAGGGCCTGGAGGAATGCCACATGCCCTAGTGTGCAACAGACTGCACAAAACCTAATGGCACCATAGAAGATCCTCCTACATCTTATTTTCTACTCCTTTTTTCTGCTGCTTCTGGTCTCCATCCCTAGCCAAGTATTCAGGTGATTGTTGTTTCTCAACCTGGCCACATGTACTAGTATCTCTTCAGCCTCTCTTAGCATCTGCCTCTTGCAGAACTGCCTTTTTGCCCCTTCCTCCCAAGGGACAGCTCCACTTGGCCCCAACACTTGGGGTCTATGTTCAGAGAAGTCTTGCTACCTCTACCAGCTGATCTCATTTTCAGTAGCACCATCTGTCTGCCTCCCTCCTTGATCACTTTTAGCCCTAGGGCATTGCTTTCCTTGGTCACACGGAGTAACACAGCATCGTCTGTTTGCTAGAGGCTGAGTTCTGACTCAATCCTTTCCATTCATATTGCGCTGTGCAACTGAGAGCAGTGGAAAGATACACAGTAATAATCACAGCAGGCATAATGACACATCAGCACCAGGAAGGCTTTGAATCAAGCGTCAGTGCCAAGCATTTGTAGCAGATTTGCTACATTGCTACTGTAAGCTACATTTGGGTGGAAAAATAATAGCTGAAACAGTCATTTGCAGGAAGCGTGATCATTACTTCTGTACACACACATCAACATATCTAGAAGTGCAGCATACAATTGATTAAACTCAATTTTGGTTAAATAGTTCCTCTTAAAATGGTGTAGTATCAACAAGCTCTGTGGATTTCAGAAAGGGCTATACAGGCAGCCAAGTATTTCCATACTTTTTCCTTTACATGTATGCAATCTGCCATATTGGCCAGGTTGTTACAGTATTCTAAACAAAAATAAAAGGCACTTTTCTATTAAAACTCAGAACTAATGAAAGATTTTTCCATGTACTTAAGCTTCTCACTACTATAGTCTTTCCTGTTTTGTCCTACAAATTGCGTGCAACAGCCAACCCACTTGTAGACTGCAAAATAAATTGTTGGAACTTAGCACTGAACTGCCTGGATGTGCAAGGCAGCGTTTGGATGTATGAGGCAAATCAGGGGACTGATTTCACTGATAGGACTTCCACCTCTTGCATTCGTTAGAAGCTATCTCCAGAGTGGAGTGGGTGCACTGAATGGATCAGACACAGAGGTGACAGAGGAGGGAAGCTCATGTTTGCAACCAAAGAGTCTCACCCATTGAGCTGACAAAGCTGGCTTTTGCTCCCTTTGAGAACTTTAGCTTTTGCAACACACAACAATCACACTCAACATTTTAGTGTTTCAAGATGAATGCAAATATTGATGTCTCACTTGCCAGCACTCCCAGGGAGAGCTTTGCCAGAGTGCAAGGTCTTTCCCACTGCACTGCGACACTACCAGTTCTCAATGAATTAAGAATGAATTGTGCAACTTCATATGGGTACCAAACTGATGCTGCCAAAAGGTTTGTTGTGCTGAATTTCAGACACTCTGGGAAAAGTACAATGACACTTAATGATAAAACTACCATCTCTGCTGAACAATGCCTGAAAATCCAATTAACGATCCCTAAGAAGTGAAGAGCCAGGGTAAGAAGAAACAGGCATAGTCCCATTTTAGAAAAGCACAGATGAGAAGTTATACTTACATGGTACTTATTCCAAAACCCTTTCTGTGAATGCACATTTTCTGATGCTGAATGCAAAACAGAATCCTGCATCACTCCATGATAACAACACTTTCAGCTTGGTCAATAGCTTGTGCACTGGACAGTAGCCCTGCTCATTATTTAAGACACCCCCCAGTAATCTTGTCTTTCTGCTCCGAACTGAAAGTTGTCTGTGCCCATAAAAACCATAAATTAAGTGCAGTCACTGTTTCCTCTGCTGGAGATAGGCATAAATAGTTTCCTATATCCTGAAGTATCCAGAATAGAAAAAAGAGACTTGAGCTTGTCACAGCCATAATGACTCAGTCTCTCATTAAAAGTCACTATTAACAGCAACATCAACTGTGGCAACGAAGGGTTGAGACTTATGCACCCCATGAAAAATATTGGTCAACCAGCACAGCCTTGCTTGCATGAAGGCTTTAAGCAGTTGTAATTGTGTAAGCAAAAAAGGTGTCAGTCGTACAGCTAATTAAAAATTTCTTATCTGTAATGCAGAAGGAGGAGTAGGGTAAGCATTGTAATAAGTTGTCTTGGACAGAAGATACTTTTTTCCCTAACGGCATAACAAAGCAATTGTGCTTTTGACGTGTCCATTGGCTACAATGATGTGTGACTAGAATAGGTAGAGCATCATGCTTCCCTTACAAGATCAGGGCCTGCAATAGCAAACATTTTAAAATACTTACGTAGTCATGCTCTGATAACAATGCATTTCATGGCACTAACAATAATTCAGAGTTGAAGTGACAATAAAATAACGTTTAACCACATATCCAACACATATTATGGGATGCATGGCTATACATATCTTAGACAGAACATTACATCAGATAGCGTATGGTATAAAAGAACATACTTGAGTGATGTTTTTGGAGTGATTTTCCCCCCAAGATAAGATCTCAGGCATCTGTCATCAATCTTGCTCCTACCAAGCTAAGGAGGCTGACAGTATGAAAGAGAAAACCTACTGTAGCTTCCATTTCATTTGACCTGTAAAGAGAGTCTGCAAAACACCAAAGAGTTCTAATGTTTCACGAGTGACTATCAATGACAGACAGGCTTCTACTG